GTCTTCTGGACAACTGTCAAGTCAGTAGTCTTCCTCATGATTGTGAAGCCTACTGAACCAGATTGAGAGACCATTTAAAGGCTCAGGAAATCTTCACAGGTGTTTTGAGTTCATTAGCTGATTAGAGTGACAACATTGAACTTTTTCACAATATTCAAATTTTCTGAGATAATGATTTTGGGGTTTTCATTAGCTGTAAGCTGTAATCATCAAGATTAAAACAAATAAAGCCGTGAAATTTTCACTTTGTGTGTAATGAATCCATATAATATGAGTTTCATTTTTTGAATTGAATTAATGAAATAAATTAACTTTCCACAATATTCTAATTTATTGAGATGCACCTGTAGAAGAGCTGTTAATGAGAGACGTCTTAATAAATGTTGACCTAGATCATCAGTCAAATGAAAGCAGATTGAAGTTGTTTAAACTGTGTGGTGGACCAAACCTCACCTCCTCGCGGAGCCGCTGCAGCTGCTTCTCGTTCTGGGTAACCATCTCATGTCGGCCCGGCTGCACCTCCTCCAGCTGCTGGCGGAGCAGTCCGATCTGCAGGCAGAGTTTTCACAGGAATGGTGTCGGAAAAACGTGGCTACAATTCCAACATGATGATAACACATGGGACATCCAGAGTCAAACTTAATATAATAATAATTATTATTATTATTATAATAATAATAATATTATAATAATAATTATTATAATAATAATAATAATAATAACAATTGCGCTGCAATACCGCACAACACTATTCTTCAAAATGACATCGGAGATGAATGATTGAAGTGGAGATGGTCAGTTTCCAGATTTCTGCCTCACGAAAAAGAACACTAAGAATTTTAGGAAGGATCTGCTGCTTTACCTCCAGGTCCCTCCGTTCAACCAGGTTCCTGGAAGCCAACAGCTCATCTTCGCCTCTCTCCAGCCGGAGCTCCATGGCCTGAGTCTCAGCCTCCCACTCCCTCCTCTGATGGTCGATCATTATATCGATCTGTCTCATCAGCTCCTGAAGCTCCGGCTCGCATGACGACAGCACAGAGCTGGAATAGAATACATATATTACACATTTAGATGTGGGCTAGACCTTCGAGGATACCACATCATTAAGAGCTAACCATCACTACGTGATTTTAATATTATCTCAAGTTAGTAAGAAATGAACTGGCTTTAGCCACCCTACCTTAGGTCAGGGTTCTGCAGACATCCCAGAGAAGCCTCCATCTGCTGGGAAATGACACGCTCAGCGTTAAACTTCACTTTAACTTGACTCAAGTTAGCTACATGCAAAGATAATTAACCTAGCAACCTCTGTGAAAGCATTGTCGTTACTACCTAATACAACCAAACTGAGCTGTAACCACGCCAGTTACGTACGTTGCGTGGGTTGAAATGGGTAACTAACGTTAAATCAACTAAAATTGGACTGTGGAAAAGTCTAAGTACAGCAAAAAAATCCTTAGTAAACGTTTACAAGTTTTAGAGCGACAAATTACTTTTGTTTACAATGTTATCTGAACTACACAGCAGCCAGCACAAACTCGATTTCCTGATGTAAGGCGGTAACTCCGCCTCCAACCTGTGTCCTCAGCACGCTGTACGTACGTCTAGTGTTAGGGGACTCTGCCTCTGGCTGCAGGTATGGCTAATCATAGGCTAAATTAACAGGCTGTTGTATTAAATACACATAATAAACCAAGTGTCTAGCGAGTTAGATTACAATAACTATAACTATTTTCCACATTCCATATTTTGAATGCCTGTGGACAAACTGTTACTGGGACTTCAATGAACATTGAGACGATGTGTATTCCACACTATGATAGTTACACAAAAGCTAAACTAATTTGCAAATGAAAAGGCTCATCCTGTTAGGTGAGTTGATTAAGTTCTGTGGTATCGGTCTTCGTGAACACGTGGCTCGTTGGTCTAGGGGTATGATTCTCGCTTCGGGTGCGAGAGGTCCCGGGTTCAAATCCCGGACGAGCCCACACTTTTGATTTGATTTGATTGATGGTGGCCACCCTTTTGATTAATAGTGGATGCCGCTCCCACATGAATAATGTTAATGTGAAGCTAAACGTTTAGCGTTAGCGGTAGTTTACAACACAGCCACTGCAGTACAATGCGATTTACCTGCAGACAGGGGCGGACTGGCCATTGGGAATACCGGGAGTTTTCCCGGTGGGCCGGTACCGAAGTGGAACGTTCGGACAATTGACTAGCACCCCTAGACTTTAATCATTATAGCCAACACAAAAAGGTACAATGTAATCAGCAAACCAGTTAGCTATATATTAGCAATGATATGGTTAGCACATACGGCTCGTTGGTCTAGGGGTATGATTCTCGCTTTGGGTGCGAGAGGTCCCGGGTTCAAATCCCGGACGAGCCCTACATTTTTCTGCATTGCGTTTGGTCGTTCATCTATTCATTTAATTTAATATACCCTTTGTCATTCATTAATGCATTTTAATATACCCACATGTATAATAGAGAACCGCAGTGACGCGTCGTAAAACCCGGAAGTAAGTTAGCATTTTTGGCACTTCCGGTTCCTTCCTCAAAAAGCAATGCATTTTTTCCATAGGGTTTTGGAAAATAGCTCGAAATAAGGTCTGTGGTTGACACAAATTTAAGAGGTAATTGACGTTTTGTTCTACGACATTAAATACATCAGCAGTGACCCCACTGGGGATTTTTGAAGAGTTTACGTGTCTGAAAAACGATGGTTGTTACCGAATGGCTGAATAGGACTACAGAAATTGTCGAGGCCGTTGTACGTCATTACGCCGAACACGTAAACACTCCCGCTAAGTTTGTTTTCCCCTGTGTTCTGCTTAAAAGCAAGTACCTGCCTATCTTTAGTATCTGTATATCTATATCTGACCATTAGAATCTGTATTTTTGAAATTGTCGTTTTTAACACCGTAGTTTTACAAATTATAGAATAATTAATTACCAGTGTTATAATTAATTACCAGTGTTTTCCAATTTTACTCGGCAGTTCGTTTCGTTGGCTAACGTTAGCTAAAGCTAGCGCTACTAGTTAGCTACGCAATGGTTTGTTGCTTTGCTCCGGGTTGCAGCCACAGGTCTTCGCATGAAACGTGCTTGTTCTATCGTTTCCCGGCCAATGTTTTCCAA